TTTCCTTCTCCCTTTCTGTCGCCAATCTCTTTAGCTATGCTAAGTGTCTTTTCGTGGTATTCAATCGCCTTATGATATTCTCCTAATGAGTCATAGACAATCCCTAAATTTCCAAAAGCATTTTCTTCTCTCTTTCTGTCGCCAATCTCTTTCGCTATGCTCAGACTCTTTTCGTGGTATTCAATTGCTTTGTGATATCCTCCTAATGACTGATAGGCAGCCCCTAAATTTCTATGTAGCTCCTTCTCCCTTCGTGTCGCCAATCTCTTTAGCAATGTTTAGTCTCTTTTGGTGATATTCAATCGCATTCTGATATTCTCGTAATGAATAATAGGCAGTCCCTAAATTTCCATAAGTAGCTCCTTCTCCCTGTCTGTCACCAATCTCTTTAGCTATGCTCAGACTCTTTTCGTGATATTGAATCGCCTTGTGATATCCTCCTAATGATTGATAGGCAATCCCTAAATTTCCATAAGCATCTCCTTCGCCCTGTCTGTCACCAATCTCTTTAGCTATGATCAGTCTCTTTTCGTGATATTCAATCGCCATGTGATATTCTCCTAATGATTGATAGGCAATCCCTAAATTTCCATAACTAACTCCTTCTCCCTTTCTGTCGCCAATCTCTTTAGCCATGTTCAGTCTCTTTTCGTGATTTTCAATCGCCTTGTGATATTCTCCTAATGAATAATAGGCAGTCCCTAAATTTCCATAAGTAGCTCCTTCTCCCTGTCTGTCACCAATCTTTTTAGCTATGCTCAGACTCTTTTCGTGATATAGAATCGCCTTGTGGTATTGTCCTAATGATTTATAGGCAATCCCTAAATTTCCATAAGCATTTCCTTCTCCTTTTCTGTTGCCAATCTCTTTAGCTATGCTCAGACTCTTTTCGTGATATTCAATCGAGTTGTGATATTCTCCTAACGAACAATAGGCAATCCCTAAATTTCCATAAGCATTTCCTTCTCCTTTTCTGTCACCAATGTCTTTAGCTATCCTCAGACTCTTTTCGTGATATTCAATCGACTTGTGATATTGTCCTAACGAATGATAGGCATCCCCTAAATAGTGATTAGCATGCATTTCTAGAGCATGAGGAGTGTCTCTACCAGTAATAAGGCTTAGAAAATTCTGGAAATAATCTATTGCCTTAGCTGCTTGATGGACTAGAAGATATAAATTACCAAGTGTTACATGAATGAGGACAAGCGTCTTGGTATCATATACAAAAAAAGCCATCACCAAACATTCCTCTAACAAGGAGATCAGTTCTTCTCCTTTTGACTTTGTGAGATTAAGATCACTACAATGATATGCATACGACACACAGAACCTGATGAAAAGTTGTACGATGTTCAAATCCATAGCTGTAATATGTATGTGTGTTGGCTTTCTAGAGAAACAAATAAAACGTTAGAATTATACTGATTATACAGTTCATTTCATTTGTTCGCCTGTTTGCTTTTCTGATAAAAATATGCTCAGTTTATTTTTAATAGTTCAGGCATTTTACGCGAAATCAAAATGCAAAAATTGATATTAGTAGTAACTCGACGGATTTGTTTCATTTGATATCTGCTCATAACACTAAATTTATTTCGGACAAAAGTCCAGAAAATCCTGCTGTGCAACAACTCGAAAACGTGGTTTAGCATTTATATTTTTGAGCGATAAATCTTTACCAAAATTATTAAAGAGCTAACTCCTTATTATCTAATAAAGCTTTTTGCTTATTCTGGCATCTTAAATTGTTAAAACATTTGCGAGGGGACTACAAATTCCTATCAGGTTGGGTTTACTGTCCAACAATACTTTTGCAATCTGAGCTTTCGGATCAAACAATGTTAATATTATTTTCATATCTGCTTGCATTAGAGGTTTTTTAGGGTTTATTTTATTTTGATTATATGCAATAAACCTTTCTTTGGAATAAAAACAACATTCCTTCTAGAAGTCAAATGCACGCAGTCCACCATATCATTCCTCATTCCAGAAGGAGAAAACAAAAATATCCAAATATACCAACCGATATAATTCAGTTTTAAATTCAGTATAGTTTATCCCGCTTTATACTATTTGATAAGTTTACTGAGAACTAATTACTTGTGCTTATTAAATTATTTTCCTATTACTAAAATTATATATGTATTATGATATTGCGTTGGGGTGAAACAAGTTATGCGTTAAAAGCGGAAAATATAAGTATATTAGCAGTATTCTATAAATTGCATGCATTACTGATTGGTTGTATTTGAAAATAATGTGTTGACTTGCAGTTGACAGAAATAATAATAGGTATTTGATATTATTAGCAATTGATATGGTAAACTTTACCAAATTCTAGTTGATTGATATGTTATTTCTTACCGTTCAGTCATTAGACACGACCATTAGACACGACGCATTCCAATTGGACTGAGAATACTTTGTTTGACTGTAATTAGAAGAACGGCTTATTTAGAAACCTCAAACTCAATAACAACAGACCTTATGTCGGCGTTTCGTTCCGAACCAGAAACTTTGTATCAGCTTCGTTCGTGTGAATACTGCTTTGCTATTGGCTGATCCATTAACCCATAACGTCAACATAAAATGTAAGTCTTAAATTGACCAAACTTTTTCAAATATTTATTGACTTTATTCGTTCAATTTTATTGTTTATTCAGAGAAACTAATTTTTTAACGAATTAAGTCAATTTTATCAATAAAAGAAAGTTTTCATTGAAGAGCTCATTCACAAATATGCATGGAATTTTGAGATTTGTCAATTTACATTTTTCGCATGGTGCGATAAATCCGAAAAATGTAAGTGCTCAATGAACATTTATATATATATTTTCATATTCTTTTTATCAAAAAAGAATGCGGTCATGGTAGACCCCAAGGCCGCTAAGGAGAAAACAAAAATATCCAAATGTACCAACCGATATAACTCAGGTTTGAATTGGCAGTACAGTTTATCACGATGTATATTATTTGATAAGTTTACTGAGAAATTCCTTGTGCTTATTAAATTATTTTACTATTACTAAAATTATGTATTGATATTGCGTTGGGGTGAAACAAGTTATGCGTTAAAAGCGAAAAATATAAGTATATTAGCAGTATTCTATAAATTGCATGCATTACTGATTGGTTGTATTTGAAAATAATGTGTTGAATTGCAGTTTACAGAAATAATAGTGCGTATTTGATATTATTAGCAATTGATATGGTAAACTTTACCAAAGTCTAGTTGATTGATATGTTATTTCTTACCGTTCAGTCAGTGCCAGCGACCATTATTACACGACGCATTTCAGTTGGACTGACAATACTTTGTTTGACTGAAATTGGAAGAACGGCTTATTTACAAACCTCAAACTCAATAACAACAGACTCTGTGTCGACGTTTCGCTCCGAACCAGAAACTTTGTATCAGCTTCGTTTGTGAATACTGCTTTGCTATTGGCTGATCCATTAATCCATAACGTCAAAATAAAATGTAAGTCTAAAATTGACCAAACGTTTTTAACTATTTATTTACTTTGTTTGTTCACTTTTCATTGTTTAATCGGAGAAACTAGAAACTAGACAAATTATGTACTCATTATGAGAATGACTACAGTTTTTTATTGAAGAGATCAGCCACAAATATGAATATGAATATGAATATGAAGAGATCATTCACAAATATGTATGGCATTAAATGTGTCAATTTGCATTTTGCGCATCGTGGGATATAGCACTTATATATTTTTTATTCTTTTTATGTATCATGCATTTTATCAAAAAAGAATGCAGTCATATGGTAGACCCCAAGGCAGCCAAATAAGAATCGAGAAATAATTTTTCCAACTTGCCTAGTACTTTATCAAAACAAGAATGAAAACGTTTGTATTTTGAAA